GCTATGACAATCTGGCGCTTCTGAATCAGCGACTGTAAGTATGTTTAACTGTTCAAATGCGGAGTTTTGCGCATGGAGTTTTGCGCATCGTGTGTGTGAGAGAGAGAGAGCCAGAGAGAGCATGAGAGAGTGAGACAGAGAGAGAGAGAGAGAGGGGGGGTCACATCACAGTGGAGTCAGCTGTCTTAACCGTGGCTTGTGTAATGCAAACACATACCAGCTTCATCACTGTGTCTGTCACGCGACTCTGTTCCCCTTTCGGGCTCTGTCTTTACATTTATTTTGAAAGATGAAGCTCGCGATTATGGTAAGGGGCGTTACATTTCCGACGAGTGCTTGCGGTGTTCGGCCAATCACAATGCACTGGGTCAGCTGGCCAATCAGAGCAGACTGCGCTTGTCTGAAGGAGGGACTTTGTAGAAAACGAAGCGTTTGAGAGAGGCGGGGCATAGAGGACCTACAATAATGTACAGTATTTGAAAAATAATGTGTTTTTTTAACATTAAAGCATGTCAACATATTCTGTTACACCAAATACACAAAATAATGATCTTTAAAAAAGCATCATATGACCCCTTTAAAGAGAACGGGAAGGACATGCATTCTGCTGGAATATGAGTGTGTTTCAGTGACCTGCAGCACCATCCTCCTGTTTGCATGTGACCCGGATGTTCTTCACTAATAGTTTCCACTCATGAGCTCGTGGGGGCTTTGGGGGTGAGGTCACCTGCGAGGTCTTGTTCCTTACTTCCTGTTAAAGAGGACAGAGGAAATAAAGCATTATCACTCATAACATCAACAGCAACATCCTTTTCTGTGTTTTTCTCTCCATTCTGAGCAAATTCCAAAGTTATGTAACATTCTGAATACTATGAAATTTACCACATCATATAATCAAGGCCTAAGGATAAACAAAATAGGGTTATACACATTTATTATGTTCTGTGGTTGATATGGAGCGTTTTAGAGAGGATTAAATGCTAATGTTAATATGATTAACATTAAACATTTAGCACATTTGTGCATGGTAGTACCTTGACTTCTGCAGACTCTGCAGGCCGGCTGCTCAGAGTTACGGATGCTTGAGCTCGACTTAAGACCTGTCTGAGCCTGTTGTTCACAGCGGCTTCACTTAGATTCTCATAATCTCCCTGAAACACACATAGTGAGTCATGGGCATTCTGAAAAAATGAGCAGAAGTCACCCTTAAAAAACCTACTGAGATTTACAACCGATGGAGTGTGCAATCTCAAGTGGTTCGATGTGTGAATGTACCTGTGTAAAACTTGGTGTAAGGTGCAAATTTGAGTCCAGGTGAAGCACCCCCCAGGAAATCTCCACCTCCTCATTCACCTCTTTCATCTGTAGGGCCAGCTGTGCCAACAATACACACACAAACGTTACTTGCAACCATAGACTCAAAACAAGGACTGATCAGAGCAGTAAGCCACGAGACACTATGTGCAAAATTGTAAAGCCTAAAACCTCTTTTAAAGGGAAAGTTCACCCAAAAATGAAAATTTGATGTTTATCTGCGTACCCCCAGGGCATCCAAGATGTAGGTGACTTTGTTTCTACAGTAGAACACAAACGAAGATTTTTAACTCAAACCACTGCAGTCTGTCAGTCATATAATGGAAGTGAACGGGAATCACGGCTTTGAGAGAAAAAAAAAAATCATACACAAACAAAACCAAATTAAACCCTGCAGCTCGTGACGATACATTGATGTGTAAAGACACGAAACGATCAGTCTGTGCAAGAAACTGAACAGTATTTATATCGTTTTTTTACCTCTGATGCACTGCAATGTCTGAACTGTCCTGAGCGCGTCCTCGACAACCGGCACATGACGCATCTTCTTAATACACTTATAAGTCTGCGATCTGTCGTAAAGCAAGAAGATGCGTCACGCGCCGATGCAGTGCATCAGAGGTAAAAAAAACGATATAAATACTGTTCAGTTTCTTGCACAGACTGATCGTTTCGTGTCTTTACACATCAATGTATCGTCACGAGCCGCAGGGTTTAATTTGGTTTTGTTTGTGTGTTTTTTTTCTCTCTCAAAGCCGTGATTCCCATTCACTTCCATTATATGACTGACAGACTGAAACGGTTTGAGTTAAAGATCTTAGTTTGTGTTCTACTGAAGAAACAAAGTCACCTAACTCTTGGATGCCCTGGGGGTAAGCAGATAAACATCAAATTTTCATTTTTAGGTGAACTATCCCTTTAACATGGTTTAACACAAGGTCTTAATTGTCTTGTTGCTTTTACCAGTCATGAAACAGAAAACAGAAATTAAAAAATGTCAACTATCATGTAAAAAAATGATAGCATTCCTTTATTTATTTTTATAATATGACAAATTTATTTAGGGATTTTTTCTGCATTTATTTGTGCATTAAATTGCAGCTATAAAGTGACCACTTTATAATTAAATTGTATTTGCACTACTGTTCAAACGATTGGGTCGGTAATACAGGAAAAAAAAACAATAAAGACAGTGATATCGTAAAATAAATATTATTAGAATTTAAAATAACTGTTTTTAATGTAATATATTTTAAAATGTACGGTAATTTATCCCTGCAACGGCAAAGCTGAATTTACTCCAGTCTTCAGTAGGGATGTAACGATTAAGTGCGAGCCGGTTGAAAATCGATTCAAATATGTGACGATTCAAATCGGTTGAGAAGCTAAACAAATCGCGATTCATTTAGGGGTAGGAGTTTATATGAATGCATGTCTGAGGGGAACTTACTGTCTTTAGAAAAGTTTAGATGGTATTTTTTCTTTTCATCTTGCCTCTGTATAATGCATATTAAAGTTCATAAGCGCAGTGCTGCTTTGTTTACAGCGGAAACCA